GTGAATAATACTGTACTTTAATTGTAAGCCACACACATTCTCTAAGTAAAAAATTTTTTGTGTGTAACTAAACAAGTGAAAAACAAGCAACCCACCACCACACACCAAAATCTAACATACAGAAAGATGAGAAAAATATTTGAGATGCTTTTTAAAACAGCAGAAATCTAACTATACAAGATAATTAAATTTTGCTGGGCTTTTAAAAAAATGTTTATGCACTTCACAATGAGCTTTTGAAAACAACAACACTGCACCTGGAAGAAATGACATAATGCTATTTCTCCTGATGGCTGGAAATTGTGACACATAATTTAGAATAACTTTCCTTATATTAAGGTTCTTAGGCTAATGTTATTAAACACCAACCTAGAGCTGCATCCAGACACTAAGAAACACATCCAATAACTTCACAAGAGGATATCAGAAAAAAACTTGGAAATAGGTTTTAAATATTCGTGGTTTAACAACAGTCAACATACACAACTTTGGGGGAAGTTGGTACTACTTTCAACATTTATGCACAACAAGAATAATATTTATTTATTTGATTTTTATACTGCCAATCTGACCAATGGTCACTCTATAAATAAATACTCAATATATAAATATTTGCTTTTTTAATTGCTGTTGCCAGTACATTTGGAAATAACCAGGCAGTAGAAGGCTGGATGATTTGACGAAGAGATCTACTTTGGATAGAGTCTGGTCCATTGCTTTATTTGAAACATTAACATGAGAGATGAATGTGATAAGAGGATACAGAAATGTATGCATCTTTCGACTCCATCCCATTCCCCTTCTGAACTTTCCAGTATCATTTAGAAAGTCAACAAGTTTGGGGGGTCAGCTTCAGCCCCCTCTCCCCAAGTCTTGCTGCAAACTGCACCTCCTTTCTGCAACATGTTGCCAAAATTTGATGGCACATTTCAAGATGACTGCAACAACTTCTAAAAGCAGGAAAGCATCCTTTTGTTCTATGCCACTGAAATTCAGCAATCACAGCTGTGGGGCTTCCTCAGGGAGGATCTACAAAATGGCTGAAGGGCTGTGATTCATAAGCCACATGTTGCCCAACACAGTCTGATGAAGAGTTCTGGATAATTTGAAAGTTTACAGACTTCTTTGGCATTTTAACTGGCTAACTATCACATAAGGTAATGCACAAAACTACAGAAATATAGCCAGCTACAAAGGAACAGATATTTAGGTAAGCCTTTGATTTCAATTATAAACTCATACTGAGCCCCAGAATAATCTCAGTTAGAAGGATATTTGTTTTCTCCTTTTTATACAGACTTCCCCCCTTTATTTTGAGGATGTGGGTTCAAATCCCTAGTAGGCCATGAATTTTACCAAGTGACCTTGGACCACTCACACCCTCAGCCTGATGTTCACAGGGCTTTTTGTGAGGATACACTACAGAAGCAGAGAATTACATGCAGCTCCTTGAGCTCATTGAAGGAAGGACAAGACAAATTAACAGGTCCCTTCCGTCAATGAAAATTGTTAACAAGGAAATGCCCCTCTCATTGGCTGTGAAGTCTAAATTAAAGCTGCCCTGCAACCAAAAGCTTTTAACACTGCATTCACCAATGAGATGAAAGACTGAAAATACTGATCTCTCTCTCCCACCCAGTCTGTGATCAAACAATAATCACAATTTGTTCCAGACAGACCAAATACTGAACATGTTTACAGCTTCACATTACTTGATTTATGAGAACCTCAGCATGTTGCCAGAAGATAACTTAAGGAGATTTTCCCCCTTTATGAGTAAACCCATAAACCTTCAAGATTTGAATTTCTTTAATAAGTCTCCAGAATGGCAAAACTTTGATGTTTCTCAAGATGAAGAATTTTTAAAAAAATTTTTTGCTGGAGGCCAGAACTTAAAATCTTGTTACCGATTCTCCCAAATCACTCACTTTTTTCATCAGTCCAAACTACGTTTAATTAATATCAAACTCTGCAAACAAGCCCGCACCATTCTTTAAAGTTCAAACTCATGCTCACTCAAGCACTAATATGTAAAATTGAACTTTTGACTTTTGTTTGTTTGTTTGCGCTGAATAAAGATAGTACTTTAATATGGAATTCTGATCTTGGTTTTGTTTATTTTAGCATGGCTGCTGCTCTGTTCTACAGTTTCAATTCTGTAGCAGAAAGAAGAAAAAATGTAAAAAGTTTGTGTATATGTGAAATTTGATCATATTCTTTATAAGTACAAAACATGACCAAAATCTAAAGCTACCCTAAGGCAAGCTTCCCACCCCTGCTCCCGTATGTAGCCCTGGAAGTTGCTTTTCTTGCTTCTACTTAGTGGTGTAGCGTATTTTATGCACCTTTAACACTAAATATTTTAAAATACACCATTTTATAATTAAGATTTTGCCATGGTACCAGGAGCATAAGAGATATAAATAGGAACAGTGATTAGGATACCAAATACTTCAGGTAAATTGAGTTGCACAGTAGACATGGAATGAAAATAAATCACATTATTAAATATATATCTGAAGAAAGCTATTACAAAACACCAACATTTTTATACTGTTTCAATATAGCCTTTTAAAACCAAAAGCTGAATCAACCAAACTCAAGAAGTAAAGATAAATAGATTATTTTAACTGTTATTTGGCACTTAAAGCAATGCAATTTTTCCTCTACTTAGAGGTTAAACCTCTTTTGCAGTTTGAAATAAAATAATCTCAGACGATCTGTATAAGGAAAATGAATTGTATAACACTCTTTCACTGAACCATTTGATATACCATGAGAAGTGGCAACCTTCCAGTTTGTTCCAATTAAGATGGCAGCAAATTTTATAGTTCCCCATTTAGTATGTTAATATCAAACTAGACACTGGGGTAGCATGCCCCTAAATGGTAGATATAATACCGGAAGCAGGTTATTGCAAAACAACCACTGTACACTACGGCAATGTTACTCATGCCAGTTTAATAATGGTCTTCTTCCTCTATGTATAACAGGCACAGGAACAAACATGAGATTCATGTCTTATGAAAACTGGTACAGGTTATGGGGAGTGCTATGAACTGTTTACTGTGAAATTGTTCCTTCTGAACAATTTATCAATATAGTTTATTGCAGAGTTTGTTTTTTGTATGAAGCAGACCTAAATTCCCATCACACTTTTTATTTACTGTATCTTCACCAGTTTCAGCTTCGTGCTACACTGAAGCTTCACAGCATGGATGAAACACACAGGAGCATCAATCTAAGGACAATATACCACACTGACATTGCACCCTCTCATTAATCTTCATTTGTCCAATCACATCCTGTCATTCTCATGCAAATAAAGCACTTGAAGATGCAACTGCTGCACACTGCTGGGATAAGGAGGAATAAGGCTGTCAGAAACTCCAGGGTGCCATCCCAAACCACAGAACTATCCTTCATTCTCAGCCCTTATGCTTTAGGCATGCCAGCTAATGTGTTTGACACTCAGATCTCACCCAGCAGGAGTTAAAACAATCCAATTCCTCAGCTACACACATCTTACTTCCTGTTGTGAAACAATCACAGGGTTCCCTGGGGTTGTAACAGCTTCTTCTGTTCCTGTCTGCCATGACAAATAGAGGCTATAAGCATTATTGATTATGGCAAGCAAGAAAAGGAAATTCTTGCACAGTGAATGCCTGTTTCATGCCCAGGGAGGACAACACTCATCTTGGTGATAGCTAGAAAGTGTTCCCCACCCCACCCCCATCCTCAGAAAGTACTGGAATTGGGAGATTATTTTTTCCAAAATGAAAAGGAAAAGAAAAGAAAAAAAAGGATACAAAATAAAATAAATTGTCTGAAGAAAAGAAAAGTGTTGGTGATGGATTATAATTTGCACCCAGGGAAGTCAAGGTTGGGCTAAATATTTGCCAAGAAGAGCTAAATTTGTGCTTTCCTATGGAAAGAGAATGTTTTCCTCCCCCTACTGCTAGTCCTTTGCTCCTAAATAGATCCAGCATCGCTTGTAGTTTTTAAAAGCAAGCAACACAGAAAGTGATCCCAATATTGATGAGATAGCAACTTCAGAAAAGGGCATGAATGTGTAGAATGCTTAACCATAAACAGAGCACATGCTTTGTATGCAGCAGTCCCTGAGCTCAGTGCTTGCAATCTCCCATTAGATGGCCTTCTGGTAGCAGAACTGAGAAGGCCTTCTGTCGGAGTCTAGAAGATCATAACCAATCAGAGTTAACAGTATTATTACATTAGACAGACAAACGGTTTGACTTAATTGTTTAAAGACAGATAAATACTATGCATAGTGGAACAGAGCTTATCAAACCACTGCACGATAGTGAGTTTCCATCCTAGCTGACCCATTCTGCACAAATCACTGTTGAAATCAGGTCCATCACATCACAATGTCTTCTGTTGGATTACAGAAAGGAAGATTTCCATGATAACAGATTACTTGGAGTGGCTGGACATGGAGAAACTCTCACCACCAATAGATAGGAGCTGTTAAAAAGATCTGGAAATATAATGAGCCAGGGCTGCAGAAAATGCAAACTAAAAAAAGCACCAGGTTACATCTGTTTTCACTGAGTGTAAAACAACATTTTACAGAATCCCTCCCTTGCCCTTTGCTTGCAATCCGGAACTTCAGTAGAAAGTTTGACTTTCTATTGACTGTACAGTGGACCCTCTACTTAAGGAATTAATCCGTATTGGAATGGTGGCTGCAAGTCGAAAAGTCTGTAAGTCGAATCTCCATTGACCTACAATGCACTGAAAACTGATTAATCACATAACCAGTGGTTTTTATTCTATTTTTATTCCATTTTGGTTTTTTTCTGGTCTGTAAGTCGATTCTCTGGCTGCAAGTCAAATCTAAATTTTGCAGCCAGAGAAGTCTGTAACTCGAAAAGTCTGTAAGTCGAGCCGTCTGTAAGTCAAGGGTCCACTGTAGTCCTAATAAAGTAAGTAAAATTGTTTTCACAAAAGTATTGGTCCAAGCTATAATCTTTTACCTTGTCGATCATATCAGGTCGGTTTGTAGCTGCCAAGATTGTCACATCCTTTAGCTGTTCTATTCCATCCATTTCTGTCAGCAACTGAGCCAAGACACGATCTGCTACATTGCCAGAACCAGAAGAGCTAGTTGAAACAAAAAATAAAGAGTTGTAGCGGTAGGCATTAATTCCTGAATAGTAACAAAGAGTGGAAACCAGCAACATTTATTCAGATTAACTTATTTGAAACTGAGCTTGCAAATTCTACAAAGCAAACCTTCCTTTCTTCTTCAGTTATGTTACCACATAAAGCTTAATGTACATTTATGATATGATAAAGAAAAAAAAGTCAGATTCTTTGAACAACAGTGTTCTGGTAACTTAAAAATCAACAGAGTTTATCTGACATAGGCTTCAATGGACTGTAGCCCACTTCTGCAAAGGCCTGAAGCATAACCTCGGTGCACAGACATATTGTATACATATGAAGGGGAGGGTATAAAACTTAATAGAAATACATGAAGTACCATCATGGTGATAGTGTGAATGCCATTTTTTACAGGTCATTAAACAGTCATATATAGATCTTAATGATACTATTAACATCTATATATGATTATTCAACACTTCTGGCACCTCCATGCATAAACTCTGTTTATTGAGACTTCACTCCACATATTTGAAGAAACAGGCTGCGGTCCATGCAAACTTATGCTCTATAAAGCATGTTAGTCTTCAAGATGGCACAAGACTCCTTGTTTGTCTTTTCTGCAACAGACTACCCCTTTGGAAAAGACACAAATCCTTTTAAAGAAGTAAAGGCAATTCGCCCCTTCATTCTCTATCAGCATTTTTCTGGCAATACACATTTCTAGCTGCTAACACTGTTCTGTCCATCTAGACCAGTAATTCCCAACCTCGGGTAACCCACGTGTTCTTGGACAGCAGTTCCCAGAATCCTTCACCACTAACCATGTTGCCTGCAGTTTCTGGGAGATGCAGTCCAAGAACACCTGGGTTATCCCAGGTTGAGAAGCACTGATCTAAACCTAATAGCCATTTAGCCCCTTTACTCTTTGCATTCTTTTCATTGTCCGTACTTTTCTCAGTTCCCCATTATTTCTCTCAGTATCTTCCTGCATTCATATTCTATTTCCACATAGGGATCCAGTATGTTATATAACGGAGATTGTGTGCTACACCTTACAGGATTTTTTCCCCTTTTCTTTGCAAGTAGGCTGAACAACATCCAAGTACTTTAAAGAATAAAGAGACAAATGGCACTTTGGCATGATGTGTTCATTTAAAAAAAGCTCATGCAAGATAAATCTGCTAGCCTTAGAGGTGCCATGTTATATTATTGCAAAAGCTTAACAGCCATATCTGAGGCAATTCTTAAGAAATAATTTAAAAGGACTAATGCGTTTTAGTAGACAATGAACAAAAAAGCACGTTTTAAGAAGTTCCTTCTGTCCTGTTTCCTTATTTCTTTTAGGAGAGGAAGGGAGCTAATCTGACAGCAAAAAGCAGGCAAGCTATGAATGTTTTAAATGAATAAATTAGCACTTTGCTTCCAATGTCATGTATTCTAACTCTGTAGGGATCCAGCACTCTAACAGAGCCATGCATCTGTTACTCACCACAGCATGCATTTTAATATATCCCCTTTTTACCTATAAGTAGTTTGACAACTCTATACATGGAAATCACCAGATGGGCAATATCGAAATCAGACTGATTATATTCTCTGCAGCCAAAGATGGAGAAGTTCTATACAGTCAGCAAAAACAAGACCTGGAGCTGATTGTGGCTCTGATCATCAGCTTCTCATAGCAAAATTCAAGCTTAAACTGAAGAGAGTAGGAAAAACCACTGGGCTACTCAGGTATAATCTAAACCAAATCCCTTATGAATACACAGTGGAAGTAAAGAACAGATTTAAGGAACTCGATTTGGTGGACAGAGTGCCTGAAGAACTTTGGATAGAGGCTCATAACATCGTACAGGAGGCAGCAACAAAAACCATCCCAAAGAAAAGGAAATGCAAGAAAGCAAAGTGGCTGTCCAACGAGGCCTTAGAAATTGCAGAGAGGAGAAGGGAAACAAAATGCAGCAGAGGTAGGGAAAGATACATAAAATTG